ACTAGAGGAATGTTGTGTGATTTGTCAGTGCTATACTGCACTCTGGCTTGCTCATCCCTTCCTTATGAGCCTTCTGTGAGAGGCTGTCCACTTGTCTACAGATGGGTTTTGGGTCTTCTGATGCCTAATACCTGATGGTGTCGACACCTTGTGATCACACAGGCTGGTGTGCTTCTTCCATGAGGGCTTTGTTGCTTCCCTGATAGATGGCTGTTTGTTTATCTTCAAACCTATAGGGTTCCCTGGATCGTTAAATCATCACATCACTTCCTTCCTAAGCAAAACCAAACCCCTGCCATTGAGTCCACTGTGAGTCACCAGGACCCAGGGGAGCGAGTGGAACTAACTGCCCCAGTAGGCGTTCGTTCCAAGGCCGTACATGTTTACAGAAGCAGGCTGCCACCCTTTCTCCCACGCAGGGGCTGGTGGGTTCAAACGGCCCCCCTTCGGGTTAGCAGTCACGTGCTTAGCCACTAAGCTACCAGGGCGCCTCTCCCTAGCACCCCTGACTTGCCTTTTGACTTAGACCTCGTACGCAGCACCAGCTTTCTTTGTTCTCATTTTCGGGTTTTTCCTTCAGAGCTGTTGTTGAGAATACTTGTGGTCACTTTCCTGTAGGCCTGATTTCTTGCCAGTCGGGTCAAGCCCGTGTGCAGGGACAGCCGTGAGAATCACACGGCTCTCTGCAACCTTTCCCACTAGAAACAGGAAAGCACCTGGGCTTAGCAAAGATTCAGGGTCTGTGGTAGACACGGAGGGTCGTTCCTGTCTCGTGTGTGTGTGTGTGTGTGTGTGTGTGTGTGTGTGTGTGTGTGAGAGAGAGAGAGAGAGAGAGAAAGCTGTCCTCCGCAGAGAGCTGATTTGTCTCTTGTTCCAAATCTGGAGCCTCAGTGCTTACCTGTCCTGGGCTAACCCGGTGAGCAACAGGACGGAATCGGGACTCCCACCAGCTTCTGAACGCGACACTTGCCGCTCATCTGCTAAAGGAAGCCCCAAGTCCCCCTGGGTCGATCCCAAGGCCTTTTGCTCCTTCCTCCCAAAGGACCTCACTTCTTTCTCCCACGTCCACCCTGTTGTGTTGAGGAAAGTGTCCCCGATTTGATGATTCTTACTCCACTTCCAAATCATTTGTCTTTGTTCGGTGGTCTGTGTCCAAAGTGGCCTTCCTGTGTAAAATCGGCAACCTCCCTTACCTCCCCCCTCAGAGAGCAGGGAGCGCTGCAAGCCACCGCATAAGACACATGCTTCCCCGAATCGGGGCAGCGCCTCCTCCTCCCACTGTCCACTCCGTCACTCTGTGCCGTCTGTGACGCCTAGAAGCCTGACAGATTCCTTGCTCCTGCTCGATAGCGACTCCCTTCTTGACTGGCGATCGGGTCTCCTGCTGTCCCTTCCTCACAGTGGGGGCTGTTTCATTCTTTTGAGGTATGGATAGTGGCTCTCTTAAAAAGAAGGCAGATGGGAGGAGGTAGCACTGACGGAGCACCCAGTAGATGGATGCCAGCCAGGAGCCAGGCCTGGCACTGTGCATCCGTGATGGTGCTTTGAGAAGAGATGTGACGGAGTGTAAGTGTAGGGGCCAAGGTGACGTCGCTGGAAGAGGCAGCACTAACATCAAACCCTTACCTGCCTAACTTTGAAGCCTCGGCCTCCCTGCTGGGCCAGCCTCTCTGGCTCATTGATGGAACCAGAAACGAAAACCGTAGAAAACAGAGAAAGATGGAGAAGAACCCCTTCCAGAAGAAGCAGCAGCTCAACGCTCCCACCTGAAGCTGTTGCTCTTAAACCTTCTCTCTCTCTCTCTCTCTCTCTCTTTCACTAATCTCTCAGGCCCTAAAAGGACTCAGGCCATTTTCTGTAGGTCTCATGACCATCCTTGGTGAACAAAACCAGACCATCGTGCTCCCCTGAAAGTTTTCTCCCGCTACAGTGTGTGAGCTCTGTTGGCCGCGGCCTCCCTTGGCCAGCCTGCAGCTCGACAGCTGACCGTGAGTGACTGCAGGGAGCGTTAAGGGGGTGCGAGGAGTGGCCAGGCCAGGGCATGCTTGACGAGCTTCATGATTCCACGGCACCACCTGTCGGGACCCACCTAGAAGTCTTCCTCACGCACGCTTTCATCCTTGCCCCCTCCAGTTAAAGAATGGCAGGGCTGGGATAGGAAGGCTTAAGAAGACAAGTACCGTGTTTCTCACCGAGCCTGCTCACTCATCAACTTTTGGACGGTTCCTGGCGATGCGGAAAGCACTACCAGGGTCGAGCTCTCCCGGCGGTACTGAGGGTGGGAAAACCGCCTCCGGCCACACGGTCTGAGGGCTCCTTGCCCAGAAGAACTTTGAAAAGCTCCATGACTCAGCTGGTGTGCTAACCTTGAATGAGTCAGATGGTAAACTCGGAAACAAAACCCAGGGTCCTTTGCCCTATGCAACCAGAATTCCCCAAAGAGATGCCCCCGGGCATGAGAGCCTGCTGCGCTTTCCCCAGCTCTGCCCCGCTGACTCACTCCTTTGGCTCAGCTAAGTCCCCTTCTCCTTGTATGTGCTTCTTGGGAAAGAATCGACAGCTTCATTTTAAAAGGGCTTTTACTTGTGTCCTGCTTTCCCATCAGAGCGCCCGTGCCCTGCCCGGACAGTGCCTGTGTTCTCCAGCTCCTTGCAGACTGTCCTCAGTGCCACCCTCGTCTTCTCTGGGGCCCCCCTATCCCGCCTCCACCCACCCCCTTCACAGGCCCTCCTTTGTAGTCCCCCTGCTCGTGGCCCAGACCTCGGCCACAGGCCTTTCCTTTCACGCCAGAGGATGTTCATGTCTCAGCTTCCCCGCTAGACTGAAGACGAGTCTTCTCTCGCTCATGCTTGTTCCCACGGCGTCGGATGGACCCTCACGTAATTCAATAAACCCTATTTGTTGAATGAGTAAGCTTATCATTTTATCTTAAGGATCACCCTAGAATCTTAGGGTACACAAATGGGTCGGTTTAGCAAGACTTCCTTCTATAACGCATTCTTCTTGAAATTCTCAGTAACCACAGATCCCTTGCTTTGATGAGCAGCCAGTCCCACCGGTGGTCAGGTGGCTGTAACAGCCATAAAGCCTTGGGTCCAGACAACAAAACTCTACCTGCTTTCAACACCCTCACCCTGGCACTCGTCCTGGTGTTAGGCCGGGTTGCCTAGAGAAACAAATCCAGTGGCACGTATATAGCTGTAAGAACGAACTTTATATCAAGCAATAATTATATATCCAAAAGGCATCCCAGCCCAGTCCAACTGAAGTCTGTAAGTCCGATGGTAGTCCGTAGTCCCCTTCAGACTCACAGTTAGAAGGTCGGTGATGCCGAATGGTGAACCGAGAAGCAGGCCAGTGGGTGCAGAGACACATGGATGCTTCGTGGGGGAAACGCAGCAGGGTGCTGGCAGCTCTCGGGGGCAGGGGCAGGGGCAGAGCCCCAGCAAGCAGGAAGGAAGAGCCACAGAGAGAGATCATCTACTTTTCTTCCACAAAAGGCTAATGACATGAAGGAGGAGTCGTCATGCCTGACATGATTGACAGATTAGATTTGACCTCACCCCTGGCCAGGAGTGTCCGGTTGACGTCATTCCTGACACCACAGTACTGGTGTCACCCTCTTCCACGTGTAAGCCTTTCCTATACTTGAAGCGTGTTGGTGCTGGTCATTCGTCTCTAGATGCATTCTAATGTGTGTATCTCCCCCTTAAATGATCCTGTGGTCTTCTTAGAGCTTACAATTTGAAAATGGGCAGTCCTACTATAAGAGGAAGAATAGGAGTTCTGGGTTTGAGAGAAGAAGCTCTCACTTTTGATGTTAGTATATGAATATTCAGTGCCTTTTGTCATGTATCATCTCCAAATTTGTATTTCTAGTGTGGCCCTCGCCCCAAACCCCAGGTTCATCCACGTTCAGCACATTTGTCTGCACGTCCGCTAGACAGCTCAAGCAGAACTCCTGACCCTCCCCCCATCGTTCTCATTTAATTTACTGTACTCCCCAGCTTGCCCCAGGCCTAAGTCCAAAACCTGGGTCATTCTTGATTCATCTCTTCCTCACGGGGAAACCCTGTGCACCCAACCTTCAAAACCTTTCCAAATCCAGAACCTCTCAGCACTTTCAGTGATCTGAGCTCCTGACTGCCCTCACCTGGGTTGTCATGGTAACTACAGAAATGGTCTTTCTGCCCACACTCTTGCCCTTCTGGAGCCCATTTTCAACATGGCGGCCAAAGGAGAGAGACTGAAAAATAGACACCAGGTCCTCACACCGCTGTTCCCATTTCTGTTCCCAAACCACGAGCCCCACTGCCGTCAAATGAATTCTGACTCCTAGCAACCCTGCATAGGCTTCCAAAGCTGTACATCTTTATAGGACTAGATAGCCTCTTCTTTCTCCTGGGGAGGAGCTTCTGCATTTGAACTGCTGACCTTGTGCTTAGAGTCCAACGCTTACCCAACACTGCCATGACGCATTCAATCTTGAGGACTAATGATAGAATGCCTTGGTACCTTTTCTACCTCGCCGCCTCCTGCTTACCTCCTGGCTCACTCCACTCTCGCCTCCCTGACCTCCTTGCTGTCCTCCAAACACTGCGGCCATGTTATCTCTCAAGGTCTTGGCCCTGCGCACTTTCTGCCTGGAACCGCCTTCCCCAGCTCTCCAGGGAGCTCCCTGCCTCACTTCTTTGAAGGCCTTCTCACCCCACGTAACACCGTGCTTCTGAATCCGGCTGTTTTCCGTAGCATTGACTTATTCTACTACACTATAACATTTACTTACCCTTATCCTTGAATCGTTGTCTACTACCCTGCAGTTGAAGGCCAGGCCCCAGGAGCAGGGACTCGTGAGCCCACCAGGGCCATCTTCAATTTCACAATCCTGCAGCTCCTTCCAACAAAGAGCCAAGAGCCACTTCCATCCGTTTCCAGAAGAGTGACGATTCAAATGGGTGATCCCATGGTTATGAACGAAGTAGACAGGAAACAGGATTTTCCACTCTTAATTCTAGCAATTGAATAACTGACTTTGATTATCTGAGATGGTGTGACTCTCTTACAGATTGTCACTTAGAAAACCCAGAGGGTCAAGGACCGTGAGAGAAGACCATATGCACACAAAAAAAGACAAATGATGCTTTTTAACTTTTCTTTTTATTTTGCGAAGAAGTGAATCAGAAACTGGAAGTTTTGGGCAGAGATGGTAACATTTCTTTGGATTAAACATTTTGGTGCCATGCACATTCAGAAAGCCGTCCCGTTCCGTCCCTTTCTCAATGGTGTGCCAGTGCCGAACTCTTCTCGTATTCGTCTTAGGCCTGCCCGTGCTGAACCTGACGCAGATAGGGTGTAAGGTAGAGTGATTAGGAATAAGGTGCTTGACCAGTGTCTTGGCTGTTGGATTCTGGTCTGATGTCCAAGCTGCTGTCCTGACTGGGGCTCAGCACTGTGGAGGCTGCTGCTGCAGTTGCCTCCACCTCCACCCCCACTTCCTGACATTTGGGTGGAAGCAGGAATGTGCTACAATGTTCTTTGGCGGAGCACAGAATTCCAAAGGTACACTTATCAGTTCTGATTAGGGGGGTGTTGGATGACTTCAGTGTGCCCTCTGTGACTCAAGGGGGTGGTAGCTGACCCGACACAGTGGAACCGAACTATCCAGACGCAGCTGGTCCCCTTCCAAGGGAGAGTCGCACGTCACACTGCACCAGGGACCCTGCCGTCACACCAAGCTTTGCAGTTGCCTTCAAAGTCCCGTCTTCTCCTGGGTAGCCTAACTGGTGCTTTGAGAAAAGATTTTTCTTTTTATCTAACCCAAATTAATTTAAAGCTCAGTTCAGTGAATAAGAAGATTGAATGTTGGACAATATGTTTCTTGATTTATAAAGAAGAACATCATGACTATCAAGTACTAAGACTTAGGGATGGTCCCAAGTAGGGAAAGAGCATGGCTCATACACTATTGCTACACACACACACATGCCACCCAAAAGGATTTTCAAAATATTTTGAACTACACATCCCTGTAATTGCTTGTAAGGTTTTAAGATGATTCATTTGGACATATAATTTTTAACCTGAGTCTACATATGAGTTTGAATTTTATATATATATATAGTTGCGCCCACTAAATTTAGGAGCCCTGGTGGTGTAGCGGTTACATTTTGGGCTGCTAACCACAAGGTCAGCAGTTTGAAACCACCAGCCACTCTGCAGGAGCAAGAAAGATGGGGTTTTCTACTCCCATAAAGAGTGACCATCTCAGAAACCCACTGGGGCAGTTCTACCCTGTCCTATCTGGCTGCCGTGAGTTGGAATTCACTCGGCA